TCAGCGCATCCGAAATCGTTCGCTGGGAAGGTGAATGGCTTGGACACATCGGGCCGTCGGACACAGGCGCCAAGTATGGCAATGATGGCTGTCGGTAACAAATATTTTCAACTACTTGCGTGTTTCCACTCTTGTGGGTTTCATCGTGTGTGTTTACTCTGAACCAATGTCTTCTAGACTTAATGAATTTTTTGGGTGTTCATGACATATAGCAGTAGATACAGACCACACTGTATGTTGAGAGATCATCACTATCAAATTTGAGGGAATTGAACTGCTTGTATAATCGTGTGAACACACCGCAATTATAGGCTTTTGAGTCTTCAATTATCGCATTTGTGGATGACGAAATTTCCCGTAAATACAGCATAAGGAATAACTTTTATGTGTCCTTTCAATAAGACATGGTCCTATTTATACGTAAGTTGTTATCTTTCTGCATATGATTTACAAAGACGTTTCGGTAGGTGCCTGACCGATGTCCGCACGCCGACCTTACTGACATAACTGAGGATTTCGCTACTTTTATTAAATAAGCGGTGAAACCCAGCAATAGGGATCCCCGGTGATACAAATGACCTTGATCCAAGAAATGTGTCTTTTCGCATGTCCCAACACTAACGCAAACATTAGCTCTAACGCAAATTTACCTGGAATTTAATGAAAAGGCACCTCCATTATAGGCAACCGTTCTATTCCCATGCCCTCCTAGTAGACCTTTTCATCTGAATAAATCAAACATTTTCAAAGGTCTTTCGGGAATTTCAGCACAGCTTGTAAGCCCGCTCTTCCGACTTTATCATTAACGCGACCGGATGTCAGCTCAAATCTGTTTTTCGTCGATTTGCTGCCGTAACATGGTGCAGCTACGAAGGATTTGGCTCATCAGTGGGCCTCCTAGTGCCCCCTCCTGCGATTTCTTGCACTGGCATATTCCAGTTTCTCAGTGTTGGACTTTATAATTATGCCAGAAAGTAATGTGTAAACTAGGAGCAAAACCTTTGGGACAAGCTTCTTTCTGCTTCGGTCACTCCAAAAGAGTTGTTAACGCGCAATCTCTTTTTCCTTGCTTATCTTCCTGCAGAACATGCAAATCGCACATAACCTAGTAAAGGCCCTGGTTACCTACCTCCATGACACTGATCTCAACACTCAGCAGCGGATCTCCGTAGTGCAGGTACGTTGCATTTCAATCTTCCCTCCCCCCTCTATCTACTCCAAGTGATGCTCATCAGTTGCGTTTTCATATTCCGTCACGTTCCTTTGTACTCTGTCATCTTTGGTTCTCAAACGATTTGGTCATCAATGAAAAAGGAGACCACCTGCTTACGAATAACAGGCGTAATGTGTCTCGATTCAAAAGTAAAGCACAAGTACTTCAACGACTAAAAGCTGCAGACTACGATGAAAATAATACAGCCCACCAGGAGCTACCAAATCCTGCGTCAGTTTTGAATGAAAGGTATGCAAAATTCACAAACACGGATACACCAAACGACTGTAGTTGTGAAGGTATCTGGCCATGAACCTCACAAAATGCTAACTCATTTACAGTGGTCACTAGGGGTCTTTTCAAAAATGCCGCAATCTGCTCTTTCAAAAAGCAAGCAAGCAAGCGAAGCATATGGATATCAGATTCTACCTCTATTGTTGGTGTCTGCGAAACGAGCTTCCTTTAGGTGAACAGTCATATGAAACCTAATTTACTGTTGCTGTAGCTACTCTTTGCACTATATGTGGTAAGCATGCTCGATAGTTGCCGATTCGCAATGCACTTGGTCGTCAATGTGCGCCACTGTGTAGACACCGTTCTCTTCATTCTCAAGGTTCCTCGGGGTTGACGCAGTTAGTTTATGTCACTGGCTTCATCGGAGAGGACGGAGGGGCTACTAGTGATGTACTTAGCTTGAAAAGAAAACGTTTCAGAACGTTCAAAGAAAAATATTTTACACACGTCACAACCAAAATACAAACGGCAAAATTTGGAAAAAACGATTAACGTAAAAACAACATGTGACTATCAAGGTAACAAGTTCAATAGTAGTTTATGTATTTAGGTCACATGGCATGTCAGAACTCATACATGGAACGGTTTCACCGATTGGTTGTAAGTCAGTGCATAACGGGGGATGTGACACACAAACAGTACTCTTCTGGGAGGCGTAAGGTCACAGTTATAAGGTCCTAGTTAAGGGGGATGATGCGCATATTCAAAAATTCGGTCGGCAACATTAACGTTATAGTAGTTCACCTAGCCTTAATCTTCTAAAAAACTTCTTTTTTCTTAAAATACATCACTACTGTCTAACAGATTTCATACGCACGAGCTTTAAGGCCGCTCGTAAATACTTCGAGCCGCGGCTGGCCCGTTTTTCGCGCACTGCCTTTTTTTAAATGTCTAATCGATATTTGCATGTGGTCGAAGTGTCCTTGCGTGTGTTTGGTTGCGTCAGTATGCTATCACTGAAGTCATAGATGGGTGCGGTAGAAAGCCGACTCCTTCGAAAACACAAGACTGTATCAGCTGCTCCCAAACACTGCTTTCATTCCCTCACCCCGTTCAATCATTCACCGTCTCTGGCCAGCCCCGCCCACACTGATCTCACTGCCATAATCCCAGCTCAGGCTAGTCTCACTGATAACCATCTGCTCACAGTGACTGAACCAGAGACACATCTCTCCTCCCTCTCCGGAGGCAACGTCTTGTCTACATACGGAATCCACAGCGAAAACGACGATATTCGCCTCAAGGACACCATCCCGACCGGTGGGCATCAACTACTCTGCTATCAACCTCAGCACACGGACTGGTTTTCAAAGGAGTCTGAGACCTTGCGAGAAAACCTGCATAATTTGGGCCTCCTTGGCGATGCTACTGATTCCTATAGCGAGGGTACTAAGGCCCTGAATGGAGGCGAAATTGATAAGGACAACATGGAAAACAGCGGAGTGGGGGCTGTGAGGGAGGAAGAGGAGGATGAAGAAGAACTCTCTTCTATTTCTTCCCTTCTTAACCTCGAGGGTGTTATTAAGAAGT